AAGAGAGAGAAAGTTGGAGGGAGAAAGAGAAGGAAAGAGAAGAGGAAAGCTTGGTTTCGGAGGCCGCAGAGCGATTTTCGTCCAACGTCACTGTTAGAAGAATTATTTGTCTCGCAGTAAGGACTCTAAATCCTATTTCTCATTTTGAAAATTTCGTGTTTTGGTATTTTTCTGCTCAGTTTTGTGTTTTCATTACCGAAATTCTTGCATATCTTTGTATTGATGAAATTTTTATTGCGTAACTTTTGGTATGTTGTTGAAATGATGATTTTGCACGATTTGAGTATTTTCTAGAAAGTTTTCAGCGAATATTTTGAATTCTGTAGAATTTTTATCGAATAAAAAATTATCCGGATGTTGAAAAATATTGCTTCACTACAAGTAAAGTCTTGAAATGATGTTTTATCCGATTTCTAGTAATTTGGTAATTTTTTGAAACTGTGTATTTTGATCCTGTTTGGGATTTCTGTCGACTATACGATATTTTAAGGATTTTCTTCAATTGAGATAAATCGTGTTTATTGATTGCAATGTATTAATAAGATGTATACGAATATGGATATATGATTGAAATTACTGTTATATTACTGAAAGACAAGTAAAGGCTAGTTGAACCGTTGGTTGGAGATTGATTGACTTGTACAAGATGTTGGACCGACGGGCTTTCCTTTAAAAAAGGTTTGTTGTTATCCTCTATTGATCACGTGATATAACGATTGGGAGTCATAAGGAGATTATGCCGACGGGCGGCCGACGGGCGAAGAGTGACGACTCTATTATTGAGCCAACGGATACAACAATACATCGATATTAACCTTGAAAAATGTCTTAATAGCCAGTAATTGTACTTGTTAAATAAGAATATTGTACTAGAATGTATGTGTAAAGTATTATTTGTATGATTTCTTTATGGATTTATTAATTAATATACGAATTTATTGATATCGATGGATTTATTGATATTGAATTGATTATTAATGAATGGATTTACTATCGGATTTATGGGTTTACTATTACTGCATGATTTTATTGATATTGCATACTGTACATGTCACTTGATACAGATACTGATATGGATATTGTTATTGCATTGATTCATTGATACTACGGATACTGATATTATTGATTCATCGATACTATAGATTCATTGATACCATTGATTCATTGATACATCAAATATTGATCTGCTACATGTGATACACCGAGCACGTGATATAGAGTACGCATTTACTGCATTAATTCTATTTTAACTATTCTTACGATATATTGATTTTGATTATTTTATATGATTTCATTTGATTCATATTATTGACCGGAGATGATTTCTTTATTCAATGATTTGTTTGATTTAACTAATAATACTGATTTGACGATTTTCTCTATGGATTTTTCTACCGTTTATTGATTCTTCTACCGATGATTGTGGATTTTATTGATTATGCATTGATTACTGATTTTCGTATCTACATAGATTTAATGATCATGTGCAAGTGACTGTTATTGATTTGACTGATTGGCATGCATATTATTTTAGTATCGTGCTTTGATTTCAATTGTAGGTTTTTGGTGACCTGCTGGGCTTTTTGAAGCTCATTATATGTGGTTAATATTTTTAGGTCAGGGCAAGGGAGCAGGAGTGTGAGGTTGATCTGAGTTCTTCAAGTTTTTGTTCCTTTTTGTTATAGGTATTCTTTTGTACTCAGGACTGGATGGAATTGTGATTATTGTGTAAATCCTGAGTATTGTAAATGAACTTTTGGGAATGAATAGAAATGTTTCCATGATGATTTAAATTATAAAATTTTTGTTAGACTGTTTAATGCTTATTGATGACTATAGATAGCTCTACTTGTTGATGGTTTAATGGATTAAAAGAATAATTCTTCCAAGTTAGATCTTGGGGTATCACAGGAACTCTCTCTCACACTCCCTTGCAACCCATAAGGATCTTCTCTCTCTCTCATAAACTTTACCCTTTCTCTCCCTAGCCCAAGGCTCTCTCTTCAAGCTTTCTTTAGAAGAAACAACGTAGTGAATGGTAAAAAGACTCATACAAATTCTTATAAGAAAGGTTAAATAGAGGGCTTCAAGAAACTTAAAAGACTCAATTTTGTCATCTCTGATCATATTGTATGATCCTTGGTCGTATTATGTAATTAGTTCATTATATCCTAGTTAGTAATGTACGAAGAGTAAGGAGTTGTACAATCAGTTCAAGTATTTGAATTGATCATCCAGTATGATTAGTATAACCAAATTGGATTATCATTATGTATGATTAGCAACGATAAATTATAGTCTCTTATAAAGATCAGGTTGTACAATACAATTTATCTATTCATACATTACGATCTAATTGGACCAATTAATCCAAATTTGATCCCTAATTATAGGATTAATTTAGGAAAGATTTAATGACATTATTAGTATGATACCTATCATAGAACTCGAGTATCACATAATTTATATTTCAAAAAATTGTCTAAATTAAAATTGGAGGCTAAGATTATGATTTCAACTAATCGTCTTATACCATTAAGGCTGTCTAATATGATTAATTTAAATAGTTTTAATTACACAAATAGCCATTTTAATAATTTTTGGATTAGCTGATCATAAAGTACAATATGGATCGTATAGTATGATTAGTTCAAAAAATTCAACTTTTACTTTTATCACTAACTCACTCCCTTAAGTGTGTGTGTGTGATTACTAGGCTAGCATAAACCTATACAGAACTTGACTCAAGAAACTTAAAAATTTATAAATGGAGAATGATTGTGTTAATTCCTATTTTTAAGAATAAAGGTGATGCATATGAGTGTGCGAATTATAGAGGAATTAAGTTAACGTGTAATACTTTAAAACTATGGAAGCGAGTTATGGAGCGTAGGTTGCGACGTGATACTAATGTTTCTCAGAATCAATTTGGATTTAGGCCGGGTAGGTCTACTATGGAAGTCATACATTTATTAAGAGGATTGATGGAGAAATATAAAGAGAATAAGGAGGATCTTCATATGATGTTTATTGATTTAGAGAAAGCATATGATAAAGTTCCAAGAGAAATGCTATGGAGAGTTCTTGAAAAGAAAAGGAGTTAATAATGCTTATATTCAAATCATTAAAGATATGTATGCACGAGCTATTACTTGTGTTCAAACACAAGGTGGTTTGACGAAGTATTTTCTTATTTCGGTTGGATTACATCAAGGATCAGCCTTAAGTCCATATCTTTTTGCTCCATTCATGGATGTTCACTACAGAAAAATAGCTCATTTCCGACAGAATTTCCGGCAAAAAAAATTCGTCAGCAATTTGACGGATTTTCCGGCGGATTTCCGATATTATATTTTTGACTAAATTTCGATGGATTTCCGACAAATTTTTCGATTGGATTTCCGTCAGATGTATTTCCGACATCATTTCCGACGAATTTCCGACGAAATTTAAAAAATTCTAAAAAAATTGTTAATAATAAATTTTATATTTATTTAATTAGTTAAATTAAGTTAAATAATTTAATATTGTATTGTTAAATTAAATTATGTAGTTAAATCTTTTTGCTTCCTGCTTAATATTTTTGCATTTAAAATTTAGTAGATTAATGTAATTTTTATTATACTTAGTTAATCATACATGGATCGATATTTGAAAAGGAAGGAACGTGTTGAGGTTGGCATTGGTATTGTGATATGTTGATAGAAAAGAATAGGTTATTGAAAGATTTATTGGTATTAAACATGTTGCTTCAACAAATATAGTAACACTTAAAGCTGTAGTAGAAGAAATGCTTGCAAAGTATTCATTGAGCTTACATAAGATACATGGTCAAGGTTATGATGGGGTATAAAATATGCATGAGTAATTTAATGATTTAAAAGAACTCATTCTTAATGAATATCCTCAAACTTTTTTTATTCACTGCTTCACCCATCAACTACAATTATGCTTAATGGCTGTTGCGAAGAATCTTTGACAAGTGAAACATCTTATTGAGTTTACTTCAAAAATTATAAATATTGTTGGAGCTTCTTATAAAAGATCAGATGCTATAAAAGCAATTCAACATTAAAAAATTCTTTCACATCTTAAAGATGGCAATCTAATATGCGATAGAGATTAAAATCAAGAGACTAATTTATAAAAGTCTAGTAATATGTGATGGAGTTCACATTTTCATACTTTAATTATTCTTATGAGAATGCATGCTTCAGTAATCAAGATGCTATAGATCATTAAAGAAGAAGGGATAAATGATCAACAATCAATTGAAGCATGCACCTTGATTGATGTGATGGAATTTTTTGATCTCATTTTCAGAATGTATTTGATAATTGATATCTTGGGGATTACGAATGAGTTATCACAATCACTACAAAGAAAATACTAGAATATTGAAAATGCAATGAAATTGGTATAAATATCTAAACATCAGCTACATGTACTAAGGGAGAGTTGAAGAACTATTATACTAGATGAAGTTTGTCTTTTTTGTAGTATTTTTGAAGTTAATGTTCCAAAGATAAATGAAACATATAAAACTTATAGTCGAACAATACAAAGAGGTGAAGAAATAACAACATTATCGTGTTGAGCTATTGTATAATGTAGTTGACATTCAACTTTAAGAGATAAATAATCGCTTTTCTAAATATAGAATTGAATTACTTCTTTGCGTGACATGCCTAAACCTAAGTGATACCTTCCAAGCTTATGATGAGAGAAAATTGATATGTCTAGCAGAGTTTTATCCAAAAGTTTTTTCTACAATTGATCTTATGATTCTTAAAAGTTAATTATCAACTTATATTATTGATATACGTATCATCGTTGAGTTCTCATTTCTAAACAGTATATTATTGATATACATACCGATGCTTTACCTATACTTGACTGGCATTTTAACTGTGCTTTTGACTGCGCTTGTTTTGAGTCAAAGTGCAGTATAAGTGATAAATTTTTAGTGAATGGCTTGACATATTTCTAGGTCACCCGAGGTAATAATTTGCATCCTACCAGACTTGGATTTCTGCAACTGCGAACGCTTTCTCGCTGGAGTTTCGATTCCGATTCGGTCTTGGTCTAGGGCCGCGTTCGCTGCGCGCCAGAGCTCTGAAGATCCCGTCAGATGGCCGATGTCGTCATTGCCGTGCTCGGTAGCTAAGCGATGCAGCGGGAATCGTCGTGGGACCATGGCCGATCTGTTCATGAGCTCGAGCCCCCAGGACCGTTGTTATTCCTTCCACTGCTTTTACTTCAAGGCGGTGGTATGGATCTTTCTAGGGTTGGTGAGAAAATCTTCAGCTCCGTCCGTTCTGCTCGCTCACTTGGCCTCCTCTCATCTACGTCCGATCGCCCTGAGGTTCATCTTCAATGCTTTTCTTCTGTGTGTCTAAGTTTTCTAATTTTTTAAAGTCGATGATATTTGTTGGAAATTGGGTTTATGGGGCGAGTAGGATCATAATCTCGGCTCTGAGTTCTGTGTTGAATTTAATGCATAACGAGCTCGGGGTTGAGTGTTTATTCTTTTAGGGCTTTTGCAAAAAGTTAGTGACCGAAGGAAGGAGAAAGATCATTTGTTTTTTGTTTTCGTTAATGAAAAATGCACAAAGAATTTCTGATTCCGGTTGCACACCTATATTGTTGACAGATGGCAGTGTCACGGCTGTGTTGTTAGAGATATCAAAATGTGGGTGACTGAACTCGGTTATTCCGATGTTGCAGATTAACATTCTTCCTGGTTGAGGCTCTTAGCTTCCTACTTTGCTTCTAATGTACTTTAACAGATATGCAGTACATTGATCTTGGATAGTGTAGCTTGCTTACATAATGAGCTTCGTTTTTGTGTTACTGACCTCAAATGATCTTCTTCACTTTTCCTTATGGAATATTTGCTTGTGCTGTCAGATAACATGACCTGCAACTTCTAACATTTAAATAATTGCAGCATTGCTGGGACAGGAGTGTTGATTTTATGTGAACTTTTTGTTAAATGATGGTTTTTTGCTTGTACTCAACAGAGATCTTGGTGTTAGAGGGAAAAAAAGCCTTTGGTTTTGTTATGTTAGTGTGAAACAATCTTTATTTGTTGGTATCCTTGAATGCTCAATGAATAAAATTTCATTACCGAAAGCTACTGCTTTTATTTGTGGTTGAATGACTTATGTATTCACCATCAAATATTAAAATGCTAATGCATTTGTCAACTAAAGTCATGGTGGGTTGATTTGAAGTAGTGCAAGTCCTTCATACAATATGTTGTTGAATAAAAAAATATTGAGCCATATTTATGTTAAGTGTCTACAACTGTAGTGATTTGTTTTGCAGAATGTATATTGTAGCTATAATGTCCATGCCTCTTAATTCATCAGTAATAAGTTGGCGATTTGGTGTTTTGTTTTCCTTCAATCTTAACTTAACATTGATATAATGAATAAAAGCAGCGAGTTCTCAGTTGTTCATAAGATTTTGAAGAGAATGAATATGAAGGGGATTCTCCAAATGTTTTGAAGTTCTAAGTGCTATAATGCTGTATCATAGAATACATACAATTTAACCAGAGGAAAAGAGCATAGCTGCATTTTGTATAACCATTGGATTAAAAATAAGTCAAAGAGAATAAAATCAAATTGTTGTTTATGTACTTTTTGATGTATCTTTATTTTCTTGAGGAAGCATGAGGTTAGGCACACTGGAATTTGGTAGCTAGAAGGGCAGGAATACATAAAGAAGTGGTGTTCACTTGCGAGGCAATGCAAAAACCTCTTTTTGTGGAATAACAATTTTTTTGAATGTACTTTCAATCTCCAAATTTTATCTATGTGTACTCCTTACTAATATGGAATATTTTTAAGTAAACATTCCTCCAAATGGCACTTCAGTTCTCATAAAAAAATATGCAGTATCTAATTCAAATGCCAAGAAAATTTTTCTTCTCATCGCCGCAATTTTATGCATGCTTATTTCGTTGTGGCTCAGGGAGTGTAATTTTTGGAAATAATTTTACTATCCCTTTGGTTACTGTGAATGATATTGTAATTGACTATAATATCCTTTTGCTTTAATTCTCATGTAGTTTGCATAGATTTTAATTCCTTTCCATTCTCAGTTTCACTCAAATGTTGTTGGCCTGGATAAGGATATTTTTCCATCAATCTTATTTAACATTTCATCTGTAAATTATTATTTTTCTTTCTCTTCTCCTGTACTCCTAACTGATTTTGAATTGTTCTTGGCCTTAAATTTAAATTATCATATTCTTCTTATTTATGTTTGTTCTTTTTATTAACTTATATTTATTAGTGGGTTAGCTTGGCCTGTTGTGCACAGTTCAGAGAAAGATCAATTCTTAACTTAATTTTTGTTTCTATTGATGCAGGTTCTTGAAAGGGTAGCTGCAGCTGCTGCTGCAGCTCGAGCTCTTGCAGGGCTTCCCCCACATGAAAGGATTGCCCTCACATCAAATTATGAGGATATTACTTTCCTATATGGTAGTAAGGGTCAAACCCTTGAGGTGCTTGAAGAGGAGTTCTATGAGGAGGTTTTGCTAGTCTCAGAAACTTTGCTTGAACTATCCTTATTTATGTTAGCACATTATTGGGTCCTATCTTGGAACTCATGCTTGTTCACTTTGATGGCTTCTAATGCATGTTTATATGTTAGATAAAATTTAGCTTTGTTTTCTATGCATTACTCTTAGTTGTTATTTTCCGTGGAATTTAGTGATGTTTGCCCTATTCATGTTTATGCAAGCACATCACGAGATAGCTTACTTGCAGCTATACGAGCTGTAATTCAGGCTGAGGGACAATACCCCGTTCCCTTGTTGTCGAGGTTGATCATGCCTGGTCACCGCATAGATCCTCCTTGTGGAAGGGTCTATTTGCAGATGCAACTTCATAATGTCATGGGCTTAAGTATTGGTATTGGACCCAAGGGTGGCCTTGGTCAGCAAGGGGATTCTGTATCTCGTCAACTTGTTCTTACAAGGGTTTCACTAATCGAAAGGCGTCCTGATAATTATTAAGTTGTTATTATTCGACCCCTGTCCATCGTTAGTTCTCTTGTTAGGTTCGCTAACTCTTAGTTTTTATTGCATGCTTATTGTTTAACATGTTCTTTTGGCAAATTGTTTATTGTATTATAGGTATTTAATAAATTTAAAATTGGTTATAATATTTAGGATTCACTTAATTTATCCTTTTTATCAACTTATTAGGCTTGCACATCTTTTGTGTCCAAATAAGAATGGCTTATGTTTTTAATTGATGCATAATTCACAGTTATTATTGCATGCTTTCTCTTTGTATTTGGAAAGTTAGGGGCTCTTTACTTGGGATTTACTAATTTCATACTGAATCAAATGAAATAGTTTACTATATCTTTGAATATGCATGACTAAATATAAATTAAATATGTTAATATTTCTCAATCTAAGTTTGTAGATTTTGGTTGCAGGATTTTGATCCCGTTAAGTATATTTTGGAGCACATTCAGTCCTGAGAGAGTGACACTGTGTATTTTGAGAAGAAGGTTCACCCATCTTGTCTTTGTAATCCTTTTGTCCTCTAAAATGTATGATTCATCCAAACAAATAAAGAGATATATTTGAATAATAAGGGAAGCTATACGAAATGCAATGTGATATGTTCACTTGTTTGTTACTAATGTGGTGTTGCAGCCAATTATTGGTGATATCCTCTTAATTTCGAAAGTGCTACTACATTTTTTTTCACTTTATATGTTAATTGTTCAACAAGCTTTGCAATCATGTAACTCTCAAAGTGCTATTATTTATAATCACTTTTTCTTTGGTGCACAAATTTTTTGATTTTTTTTGTTGTATTTTGAAATTAGTAGAATTGGAGATAAAATTATATTTTTAGAGATTGCTCTTGATTGTATGATTATTAATATTATAAATGCTTATTCTCCTTAAATATATTTGGATTTGTGTTCAAAATTAAAATATTGGAATAACTTAGATGAATTAATACAAAGGATACATCTTGAAAAAATAATTTTTATTGGAGGAAATTTAAATGGTCATGTTGGTAGAATGTAGAAGATTTTAAAAATATTTATGGTGGCTATGGATTTAAAATAATTAATAAGGGTGGTAGAACTATATTAGATTTTGCTCTAGCTTATAAATTTTTAATTGTTAATGCCTTATTTAAGAAAAGAGATGATCATGTCATCACTTATAACAATTGATATAGTAAAACTTTGATTATTTTTTAATAAGAACAACAGATCTTTTAGATTGCAAAGATTATACAATCATTCCGAATGAAAGTTAATGTATATATTATTGTTTATTAGTTTTGGACTTTAAGATGAAGGATAATAATTTGAATAATAAAGTAAAATGTTGTCCTAGGGTTAAATGCAAGCATTTAAAGAACATTAATAAAAATATTTTTGAGAGTAAGATTCAAGATTTGAAGATTTTGATTATGCATGAGAAAAGCTAATGTTATATGGTATAAAATAACTAGTATTATTAAGAATTTTACAAAGTATGTGTTCGAAGTATCAAAAGAAAAAAAAATATTGATAGTAAAAATAGTTGGTGGTAGAATCAAAATATGAAAAAGAAGATTAAATATAAGGAGCTTTATCATAAAATTTGATTTAGATATAAAAAACAAAAAAATTGGAAAGATATAAAAGGGTCTGTAAGGAGTCTAAGAAAGCGGTATGTGGTGAAAAGAATTTAGCTTTTCATGATTTATATAATAGATCATATACTAAGAAAGGTGAAAGATGTATGTATAATTTTGCCAAGCAAAGAGATAAAAAAATTAAGGATTTAGTTCAAGTGAAGTGCATTAAGGATGAAGAAAAAAAGTACTTTTATTGGAATTAGATGTTAAACATAGGTGGATGAGATATTTTGATAAGCTTTTCAATAAAGATTGTGAGAATACGATTGACTTTAATGACCTTAATACACTAAATAAAAATAAAGATTTTTTTTTTTTTATCGACGTATTTGTAAAATTGAAGTTAGAGAGGCTTTAAAGAAAATGAAGGGTGAAAAAGGTGTTGGACCTTATGATATTTCAGTAGAGATGTGGAAATGCTTAGGGGATGAAGGAATTTCTTGGCTTACTAAAATTTTTAATACTATTTTGAAGACTTGATTACATCAAGGATAAGCTTTAAGCGCATATATTTTTGCTTTAGTTATGGATGTTCTTACTAGACATTTGCAAGGGGATGTACCTTGGAGTATGCTTTTTGTTTATGATATTCTTCTTGTTGATAAGACTAGAGAGGGAGTTGAAGGAAAGCTTGAATTATTACGCCTTAGAGTCTAAATGTTTTGCTTGAGTATATTAAAACCAAATACATAAAGTGTAACTTTAGTATTAATAGATCTAGTGTGGAAATTATGACATTAGGTGATCAAGTCATGAAAAAGAGTACACATTTTAGATATCTAGGGTCTATCGTTCACATTAATGATGAGATAGATGGGGATATTATTAGTAAAATTCAAGTTGGATTGTTGAAGTTAAGGAATGCATTGAGCTTGTTGTGTGACTAAAAAGTCCTTCTCAAACTTAAAGAAAATTCTATAAGATGGTGGTGAGACCTGCAATGCTTTATGACATAGAATGTAGGCCGTGAAAAGAGAAGCATAAAATTAACTTAAGTGTTGCAGAGATGAGGATGCTCTGGTGGATGAGTGGCTTCATTATTAGGGATATAATGAGAAATGAGTTTATACATGAAAGGTTGGAGTAGCTCTAGTGGCATATAATATCAAAGAGAGTCGTCTTAGATGGTTTGGTCACATAAAACGTTGGCCTTCGAATGATTAGGTCAGGAGAGTAGATGTAAGAGATTTGATATATATTTAGAAAGATAGAGGTAGACCTAAAAAAACTTGGTAGAAAGTATAAAAAATGTCATGTTTTTATTAGATTTAAATTAGAACTTTACTTTTAACAGAACACAATTAAAAAATGGATTCATGTAGCTTACCTCACGTAATGAGATAAAGAATTGGTGTTGGTGTTGTTGTTGTTGTATTTTGAATAGTTCCCTTTAAAATATATTTAATGCTTCCCTTGTGGAATAATATGGAAATTTGACTTCAATTATGCTTGTTATTTTCTCTACCTCACTTCTTGCAGGCCACTCTTAGGTTAGCCCAACTTGATAAAATAGCAGAACGCTTAGCACACAATGTTTTGGAGCACCATGAAGAGTTGGGTATGTTTTATTATTTTTCTTGCATGTTAAGGGCCTACAGCTGGAACTTTAGTTATATTAATTGTTACTAGAATATCAAACTCGGGATGATTTAATGATTTAATTGCTTTGAATGTTGTTATCTTATTTCTTACTAGTCTAAAGTTGCTTGTAGGGCATCTTTTCTACAAAGAGAGATGTATCATTACTTCCTTTCTGGTATCTAAATTTCTATCATCGAGATTTTCTCTAGGGAAACATTTGTTCCTTTTTTGACGTGAGATATATGAGGTTACTCATATTTGAAGCTTTCCAGGAAAGTGCCTTACTTTTTAGAGCGAGCGAACAAGTTCTTTTGACAGTCCCCATCACATTTGCTGATATTATTATTTTTTTTCATTCATAATAAATGGATCTTTTTTTTATCATCACTTAAATTCGAAAAATTAAATTTTTTATTCTAGAGACATCCACAATAGAAAATGGCTTACAAAGCTGAAATGTACCTGTGAAACATGAGGTATAATCAGGAATAGCTGTTCTATTTAGAAAAGGGGTCAAACATGAGTTTAAGGGTAGATTACTAGCATATAATTTCAGGTGACAAATTATATTGTTGCAGACAGGACTAAAATTTTATGGTCAACTTTGATGTTTTAACATCTCACTGCAGAAAGCTAATTGCAAAATTTAAAAAAGGGTTGCCTAGCTGCTTATCAGGGCCGGAATGTTACCTATGGAGTTTCAAAAGATGGACTTGGATGCTACTTATACTTAATGAACATATCTGTAAATTTCCCATTTTATCTCTCCTAGTCATTTCTTGCTTTATGATGGAGAATAAAATATTTTTTATAAATTGCAAAATTGTGTGCTAAAATAATCAGTGTTATGTTAGCTATCAAGGACATTTTTCTCTCTCTTAAACTTTTAAGATCCTTAATGGGAAGGTCGAAGGTTCCACAAATATTGGAAAGAATGGGAGGGGGAAGTCGGCTATAAAGAGCTTGAAATGGAGATATTTTAATGTTTTTATGATATGATGTATTATAACACATTTTGCCCAACAATGAAAAGAGGACCATAACTTAAATGTAGAGGATGTATAAGCACGGATATATTGTTCTAAACAATGATTGAGAATTTCTGTTTGGTCATCTGTTTGTGGGTGGTAAGAAGAGCAAAAATATAATGTGGTACTACTTAAATTGACGAGGTGGCGCCAAAAATGACTTAAAAATATGCTATCTCAATCTAAAATTATGGTTATTGAAAAACCTTGCAAGCGAACAATCAGATGTTAAAAAAGATCAGTAATTTTTTAAGCATAATATTTGGAAGGCAAGGGACCAAAATAAGCAATCTTGGATAGGTGATCAACGATTACCAAAATAGCAATATAACCATTAGAATTGGGTAGACCATTGATGAAGTCTGTAGATAAGTCTTCTCAGATTTGTGAAGGTATTGATAGAGTAGATAAAATAGTTGTCAGAGGAAGAACAAAATATTTGATTTCTTGACAAATTAGACATTTGCTAACAAAGTCAACAACATCTTGATGAAGCCTAGGTCAATTAAAATTAGCTGAAATACGTTTGACTATCTTAAGAATGCCTTGATGACTGAAAAGAGGTGAGGAATGAAATTCTATGAGGATTTGATGTTTAAGGGATGAATTTTTACAGAGGTAAATATGACATTCATAGTAAAGAATATGGTCATGAAATTGATGAAGTGTATTAGAGAAATGGCCATTAGAAAGATGAGAAGCAATATGAAGAAATATCTGGAGAGCGAAGTGATACCTTTTTTATGTCATTAATTAAAGAGAAAATATAATTAAATTTTGGAAGGGAGGAGTTGAAGGGTCTTTACGTAGTTTAGATAAAGAGTTGGCGATAATATTTGTTTTTCCTGGCTTATATTTGATAGAAAAAATTGTATCCTGAAAGCTTGCGAAGATAATATTGTTGATCAGGTGTTTGAATTACCTTAGTTTGAATTTCACGTAAGCTTTAATGATTGATATGAATAATAAATTCATTGCCTAACAAATGTTACACCATTTGGAAACAACTTCAGTAATAGAACATACTTCTCTTAGAGAAGTTGATGTTGATTTTTTTGTGCATAATTTTTTGATTAAAAAACCAATGGCATGATTATTTTGTAAAATACCACACCAATGCCTAAGTTGGAAGCATCTGTTTCAAGAATAAAAGTTTTTGTGAAATCAGGGAAGGCTAAGACTGTTGCAGTAGTCATTCAATATTTTGAGATTTTGAAATGTTGTTAAGGCTGTGTTGTCTCCCATTTGAAGGAATCCTTTTGTAGAAGATTGATTAATGGAGTAGCTATAGAAGCATAATGAGGTTAAAACGTTGATAATAACTCGTTAATCCTAAGAATGAACATAGGTGGCATAAAGAGGAGGGAATTGGTTAGTTTATTATTGCTAGAATTTTAGTAGGGTTAGGTTGGATGTATCTTGTGGAGACAATATGAGTCAATATTCGATGGAAGATTGACAAAATTGACATTTTTTAAGTTTTAGAAAAAGGTGATGTGTTTGTAAGCATTGAAAAACCAAAGTAAAGTGATTAACATGGAGTTTGATGGTGGGGCTGTGCTGTATATCAAGATGTTGTCAAAGAAGATTATAATGAATTTGCTAAGAAATGAACGAAAGATTTGATTCATTTATGCTTGAAATGTCGATGGATCATTTTTAATGTCCCTCATGACTGTGAAAGGAGGTTTTGTGAATATTTTGATGATGCATTCTAACTTGATGATAGCATGAATGTAGATCAAATTTAGAATATATAGTAGCTCAATGAAGTTCGTCTAAAAGTTCATCTATGGCAGGGATAAGAAATTTATCTTTAATAGTAAGGGCATTAAGGGCTCTATAATCGTTTAATAGTAAGGGCATTAAGGGCTCTATAATCGACTCAAAAACGCCAAGTGCCATCCCATTTTTTAACAAGTAAAACTGGACTATACAAGGCTTTGGCTATGACGAATAATGCCAACACGAAGCATTTTAGAGAGTAATTGTTCAATTGCATCCTTTTGGAAATGTGGATAACGATAAGGAATGTTATTAGGTTTAGATAAGGAAGGAAGGTGAATGCGATGATCAATGAATGGTGCAATGTAGCGGTAAGCCTTGTGGAGGTTAAAATAAATGTTGGAATTGTTTGTGAGGGGATTAGAAATGGAAGGGGGTAATTGAATTTTGATTTTATCTATTTAGTTTGTCAATAGGTTGTTAGGGGAGGAAGAAACTGGATCTACGAAGTGTGATTGAATAGTGAAGGTTGAATGGTGGGTGAATGGGAAATGATTGCATGAAAATTGTTAAAAATAATAGGATTACGTTGTAATTGTGGTTCGTCTGTTAGTATAATCTGCGTATTTTGATTATGGAATTGCATGGTAAGGTTTTAATAATCGTGTAAAACAGATCCTAAAGATTATAACCATTGCATGCCAAGAACAATATCAGCAACATGAATGGATAGGATGAGGAGATCTAGATAAACTTGATAGCCTATATGGATAATGTTTACTTGCGGACATTTAGAATTACAAGATAATAAGTTGCCATTGCACACAAAAATATTAAATTGTTTAATAAGTTGAGGATGAAGAGATAATTTTGTGATAATGTGTTCTTAAATGAAATTTTTAGTACTACTATAGTACTATGCATGTTATGATTATTAATATAGCTGGTGAATCGGAAAGAACGAGGGTTAAATTGTCTGCTAAAGCATTAAGGCTGATTTTTTGTTGAGAATATGAATTTTCATCATTGATGGAAGAGAGGAAAGAGTCATGCACTAAGTTTGAGTCATCGGTACCTAGTAAGAGAATTTGTTTGGGCAACGTTGGGAGCCAAAATTTACGTCCAAAATTTATGTCACAATTAAAACATAGACTTTTTTCATGGTGAAATTGAATTTTTGCCGGCGAAAGTTTTTCGGATTAGAAGATTTGGTGGTTTATAGATAGTTGGGGCAGAAAAGGGAAGAGAGGTGAGAAATAAGGAGTGATGTAGTGGATGAATTGACGTTAGAATGTAAAGAATTAGGTGTAGTATTTTTGAATTAAAGAGGGTATGATTTTTGCCAAGAGGAGGAAGGAATATAAAAAAATAATTGAATTTTTGCTTCATGATGACGTGCTAATTTTGTAGTATCTAAGAAGGAAGTAGGTTGAGCAAGAAGAAGTTCATGATGGATTTCTTGTTTAAGTCTTGATATGAAATAAGTAATGAATGTGGATTTAGACAAATTAGTTGCTTTAAAAGCAAGGTTTTTGAATTTTGTTTTATGTTCTAGGACAAAACTTTGTTGAGCTAGTTTAAAATGATTCCCATGTAAATCTTTTTACATGGAGATACCAAATCGCTATGTAAGGAAAGGTTAAAGTTGGGCCTAGAGAATAATTGGCCCTTTATACGTAGCCATTGGTACCAAATAGTTGCTAGACCTAGGTGAAAAGACGTAATGCGAGCACGATGACATTTGAGTGCATTATGAAAATCAAAATATACTAGTGCCTTAAAGATTCAAGTTTCCACGTCTATCCTATTAAAATCAAGAAGTTCTTCATGGTTTTAAGAGAAGAAAAATTTGTAGGAGGTGGGGATGGGCTATGAGAAGGAATATGGTTGCCTGATCCCATAATGCTAGGTGAAGATCAAGAATCTTGATGGGATAAGAAGTGAGATCAGTCGATATATAGGGTGTCAAGGCGTTTGTCAACAGAGTCCATGAAGATGGAATTGTTGGAGAGATGTGCCAATGGATGCAAATTGGAGATTAACTGATCGGTGTGATTTTTTTATTTTTAAAAATGGTTAAGTCTTGGTTGGTTTGCATGGTGCATAGGGCTTCTGCTAGTTCGGTGTTTTTCATAGTGTGAAATTAATGGAATAAGAGAAAAAGATGGTGCCAAAAACCTTGCAATTGTGAAAAGAGAGGAAGAACTAGTAGAAAAATGAAATT